TTTATTGACCATTTTATTTAGCTTGTCCTGATCAAAAAAATTACTGTCTTTTTGTATAAAGTATCTTTTGAGTTGCCAAGAACTATACTTGAAAGCACTAATGTAGACTAAAAATTAAGCTGTCTTGGATATATATGTATGTATTTGTCTATTTGTATGTTTAGAGATGCTGTCCAAGTCTTTTTTACCTTATCCTTAATGACTTTTCTGCTCCTGGAACTAGTTATACTACTGCATGATTAGCTGGGTATAAGCATTGTACTTTCAAAGCTGTGGATATGTGAAGGATACATTTAAATAAACTGTAGATGTTGATTCTAAAGTATATGTATTAGTGCTAAAGCATTCTTGATTGTGGGTAACTGTGAGAATGTGTCCTATGTTTCCAGAGTTCTCCAAGGAATAATTTGAAAGCACACAATGTACATCATAAGATTTATTGTAAAAAAAAAATTATTCCCCAAACCTTGGTTTTTACTGTTTTTTCTTTGTGAATTACTCAATTTCCTTGTGATAAAGTCCCCCCTGCTGACTTTATCTAATGTCCATGCAAAACTATACCTGCATAAGGCTTTAATGCTTCATGATTTTCAAAATGATATTTGTATTGTGGGGAGAGTAGCCAATGCTTATATATGATTTAAGGCCTCCAATTCAATAGAATGCTGAACCTAGCCTTTAACTGTATGGAAACATAGCACTTTATCACACCAAGGGGGAAGCAAACCAGTAATGGGATGGCATTATGTGATAGAGACCACCATCAAAGGCAGGCCCATAGCCAGGATTTTGTTTCGGGGGGGGGGGGGGGGGGGGGGGGGGGGGGGGGGGGGGGGCTGAGTCTGAGTGAAAGAGGGTCTACCCTAGCAAACCTTTTGTATTGTTACCCCAATACCCCATGCATATGGGATATATTGAGTATGGTGATCAGATCATGATATGAATAAACATAACAGTTTAAATAATGCACCAGTAAGGCCTTCTCGCAGACCATCATGATAATTTTTTTTGGGGGGGTGAGCCCTCCCCCCCCCAGCTACATGCCTGATCAAAGGTTACAGAGCAGCCCCAATGCGAAGTTGCCTGCCTCATGTTATAGAGTCCTTAGATTCTGAACTCTATCTGCAAAAATAAGAAATAAAATCAAACCTTTTCTCAGTTCAGGTTACAACATTTAAATCAACATAGCTAACATTCGCAATATACAAAAGTTAAAAGTGTAATTAAACTCTCAAAATGTGAAAAGAAAACCTTCTAAAATATTAACAAACAAATGTTCTATGAGGTTGGTGAGAGAGAGAAGAGCCTTCACGGATGATCAAAAACATGAAAAGTATAGCCTCTGAAATTATCTAGACCTCAACAATATGATTTTGGTTGAAATCAGCAGAAACAACATAAGGTTTGACTTTTTACAGGTCAGTGGCTCTCATTCTAAAGAACAGGATTTAACAGGGAATTACATAGAAACCACTTCTCATTTAGATTATGCACATGATCCTGAACTGATGTGTCTCATCTCTAAACCATCCTCATATATAGCTTGGTAACTTTGGTTTCTATTGAAGTATGAAATGAAGAATTATTGGAGTAATTCAAAATACAGTGTACTGTGCCACCGAGATGCAATTGCTTTTAATTCACCTTGTTGAATGTGCAGGCAATCTTTAACTCATGGTATTCTTACAACAGCTTTTGAAATGACAATTTTCTTGTGAACATATTTATCACATATTTATACTGTGACCAGATGTGGAGTGTTTTCTCATGTTTTTCACTTAGCATATAGTGGGGATTTATGGCCAGATTCGGAGAAAATGTGGTTTAAATCATGGAAGCTTGAGAGAAACATGGAGCACAAAGTTTATGTTTTAATTACAACAGATCTGCAAAGAGTAGAAACTATGTGACCTTTAATTAGCTGCAACAAAGCTCTCTGCCCTCTATCCTCACTTTTAACAATTGAAGGAAATCCTGCTGAGATGTAAATCTTCATTTATTTCATTCTCACATGTAAGAATGAAGAATTTCAAAACTCCCATGCTAGATGTATAACAAGAACATTTTTTTTTTGGGGGGGGGGTGTTTTCTTTGTTTTTTTGTTGCAAAGTTTTAATACAAATAAACAAATGGTTTTGAAAGAAAATGATTGGCAGAAAAGGCAAACTTGTTTATGCATTTTCCCCATTCTGTTAAGTAAAGGTTTCCCCTTGACATTAAGTCTAGTCAAGTCTGACTCGGGGGGGGGGGGGGGGGGGGGGGGTTGTGCTCATCTCCATTTCTAAGCCGAAGCCCCAGCATTGTCAGTATACACCTCCTAGGTCATGTGGTCAGCATGACCGCAGGGAGCACCATTCTGTGAAGACCTTGTATTTTCTTGGGCCCCATTATTATTGCCTCTCTCATTCTATTCATCCAGCACCATCTATATGTGCATTATTTTAGAAAGCATGAGAGGACAGATCCTTGTTCTTAAGAAGTTCACAATCATTTTTTTCCATAAATGGATAGTGAAATAGGGAGAATTTGATCCCAAGAAAGAATATGTATTTTGGAAAAGAATATCTATTAAGGGGTTTTGAAAAAATCCTCATGAAAAAACAGTTGGGTTTTGAGGAGCTATAGCTGTATAAATAAGAAGGGGTCTTTTTGTTTATTCACCCTTTTTCATATCTACCAAGAGGCAAATGTGTTGTGAAAGGAGGAAACTTGGGCAATCTGATATCATCACATTGAAAAAAATTCCCCTTGTAGGACACTTCAGCTTCCCATGGAAAGCAATGGTTCTATCCTGGAGCATTGCTTCTTTTAATGTAAGGGGCTTTGGGATCTCTTGGTTTTCCGATACTGTTGTTTTTGTGGATTAAAAAAGTAATACTGACCTTGTGATGAATGTAAGATGAATGTATTGCCAGCTCTTAATTTTCCAGTTTTTAGTCTGATGGGGAGGCAGAACTCCAAACAGGTGATTCTTTCCCTTAAAGCAGTGGTTCTCAACCTGTGGGTCCCCAGATGTTTTGGCCTTCAACTCCCAGAAAACCTAACAGCTGATAAACTGGCTGGGATTTCTGGGAGTTGTAGGCCAAAACACCTGGGGAACCACAGGTTGAGAACCACTGCCTTAACGGATGATTCTCTCCCTTAAAGGGATATCACCCATGCTTTTCCCTTTCAATGTGATGAGGTAGAAAGTGATTCTTCCCTGGCTGAATAGGAGAAGCATATCACAACTGAAAATACATTTCCCCTTAAGCAGAAATGGCCATTACAGTTATTGGCCTACTAACCTGATTCTGCAACCTACTCAACGTCTGCATGGACTAAAGTAGGTATAGTGACCCATGGAAAGATTCCCAGCTTGTTCAGTTTCAAGGTATATCCTGCATCAGTTTGCAGTATCCTCCTTCTTGTCCTTATCAGCCTAGTGCAGCTGTTGATGCTTAGTTGTTAGGCTTTGCCAATTGCATTCACAATACTTAGCATTCATTCATTTTCAGTTGAAACATTTAGCATTTAACAACACTTTTGACTGCAACCAAGAAAATTAGGCAGTGGCCTTGGGCCAGTCCACTGTCTTATAGCCATTGTGTGAGAGGAACTTAAATATTTTTTATGTTTCAAAAAGATTTGGTGCAGTTTTAAGACTGTTTTTTGCCTATTGCTTTTAATGCACAAAATGTGAAACTTTGATAAATGTTGCCTTGTTGCATGGAGTATTTTACAAATGGCACTGGTTGAGTTGTTGCATCTTTTTGATCTATTGGCCAATCATTTTGTGATGGTATATTTGTTTGCTTATCTACAGAAGAGAAAAAGATGCTGCTTCTGTACAAAGACTTTTGCTAAAATTGTGCAAATAACAACAACAACAACAATGTCTTTATTTATACACTGCTTTTCTCCTACAAGAAAAGACCCAAAGTGGCTTCAAACATATTAAAATACAATACAAAATCAACAGCAATCGAACACACAAATGTAAGACATTATAAGCAAACAAAGTAAGACATAACTAAGCATTAAAAACCATATTCAGTATTGAGTTGCATTAACACATTTTATTGTATATAATAATATAATATTGTGCTTGGTTCTTTGCTGGGAGTGGAAAAACACCTCATGATGGACTTGACAAATCCTCACTACACTATCTGGTGGTGCCAAAGCTGGTGTAATTATGTCTCTGCCATTACTCAGCCCATCCTCGCTTTCACACTGTACAGAGTATAAAGAGCCAGGATGGTTGGCCTACTGCTAGTTAAGTACTGTCATGTTTTACAGTGCTTTAGGTGTAAATTACATTCCACCTATCTGAGAATATCTGACTGAAAACTCAAGGGACTTTGCAAATATACACTTGGGTGGAGTGGAGGAGGAAAGCTTTCTAGGACTACATTCAGGAATTGAATAATCTGAGAACAGGGAAGTGGGGAAGAATTATCTCCTTCAGAGCTAAGGTTGGAATACTCTGTCCTAGAATTTCTTATGACATATAACCACTTTCAAGACTTGCCTCCTGGGGAGCTTTGGAAACCTATTTATCTCCAACATCAGAAAATATAATATTCTCCACTTACTTAAAAGATCGTTCTGGGCCATGTTAAGAAAAAGGGTGTTCTTTCTTTTTTAGCTTCAAACTTCCTCAACCAGCATGTGAATTAATAGTCAAAATATAAACCTTTCCAAGTGACTTCCATGATAGTGTGTGTATGTGCGCGCGCGCATGCGTGCATGTGTGTGTGTGTGTGGTCTGGTCATTACAATGCATATTCTGTTTCACTAGTCTTTCCTTTAGTTGGTATATCAAACCTCCTCACCACCTAAAGAGCTGACAAGACACACCTAGACATATGTTGCTTTTATTTTAGGATACAAAAACAGGTTCAACAACTTTCTGTCAGGTATCCTTTCTTACATTTCCAGTTTCAAATGTTATAACTCCATCAGGTAGTGGAGTCTCAAATTTTGAATGAGTTCTGATTTCAGTTCTCCGTATGATAGGATAGATTTTTTTTCACAAGGGCACACAATGTTTTCCTAAAGGTTGGGTTTGGGTGTTGGTGCTTTCTGAAGATGACTGCACAAAAGACTTGGGCTTTCACAGCACTCTCGAAATGCTGTACTTCTCATAGGATATAAACTAGGCACCCTCAAACTGTGGTCCTCCAGCTGTTTGGGCCTTCAACTCCCAGAATTCTTGACATTGAACAATCTCGTTTTGGGCCTCCAACTCCCAGAAGCCCAAACAGCTGGAGGGCCGCAGTTTGAGGATGCCTGATATAAACAATTACAGATACAGAAGTCAGTAGTCACATACACAAGTCTAGTCCAAAGCAATCAACCTAGAAGACTGTGCACTGCAGCTCTAAAATGAAAGTATAGATAAATGCAACAAAGATCATGTGAAGTGGCTATTAAGCAGATATGGCTTTCTCCCATATAATTATCCTATATGTTTGCATTTCATCAGAGAACTCGAATGATAGAATCAAGGGAACTGTGCGTCTAAATCTCAAAAGCTCTTTATGCTCACTTCGTTCACCAGCTTTCCGTATTCCATGTAAAGTGAACAGCATCAGTTAACCCACTCTAATCAAGTTCCTTATCTTTATCTTTCTCCTTCAACACCATTCTTTCAGCAATACATTCCTACCTTTGCTCATTTGACCTTGTGTTACCACTGGCCCTGTCTCTCATGATTCCTCACTCTCATTTTGTACCAAGAGCTGATTATTTCAATGGCACCTTCAATGTACTTATACTATTCCATTCTCAATAGTTGCCTGTTAATCTCCAATTTCTTAACATACACATCTCACACAGTGAAGATTGCAATGCACACTTGGGAAGAAATGTACTATACTATGGGTACCAATTAGAATTAAGTACCAGAAGCAAATAGAGCATTTCCCACTACTGTTTCTTTGAGTCATTTATTCTCCTCATCTTCCAGAGTTGCAAGGATTCCTAGGGAGTCTCCCACCTAGGCTATGGACAGACCCAAATCTATTAGCATCAACAAATTGTTGCATGATTTGTCTTTGGATAATTTCTAAACTGACACATTCCTTAGAATTTTGAGAAGGAAATAACAGTGAACTGTTCATGTCAGAGATTAACATGACTAATTTTCTGGATTGATAAAGAATGTTGTTTTGTGTCTCTGATTGTTGCACCATAAGGCAGGATGCATAGAGATGGGTTGGAAAGGTTTTATAAGTCAATGCCATTCAATTTCTAGCTTCTTTTTTGTAACATCCTGTTCAGAGATTGGAAATGCTGTTTTTAGCTATATTTAATAATCTCAGATGGGCGTGTGACATATGTGCCTTTCACCTACTCTTAATCTTTTATCATAGACTTTCACTGGTTCCTAGACAGGGCATGGTAGGTTTTTTAAAAAAATCTGTCCCCTCAATTGGCATTCTGGGATAAGGGTTCTTCATGTACTGGCTCAAACAGAGGGATGACTGAGATCGATTTTGATGGTTCTATGACTATCACAAGAGAGAGTATGTAATCTTTGTTATGCACCCTTATAGAACGCTATGTGAAATGGTAGTTATCACACGAAATCTTGGATTTGTGGGACCTGAAATATTGTTCCTTTGTATTGCATGACCAGAATATAGGAAAACATATTTTGAAACCTGCCAGGAGTCCTCTTTAACAAGATTTGCCTTTTGAATCCCAGTATTCTTCAAGGGAGAAGCAGGCTTACCTATATGTTCACTGCAATAAGATTCTTAAGGGATATTTGTCCAGTCTATTTCTAGACAGTTTATAAGCTTTTCTGCCAATCCTTTTGTGGATAATTAAACAAAGTACTGTCTTAGTTCACCCAGTAACTGTGTTATGTTACTTCTTCCAGATGTGCATGCAATTATGCACATTATATTTTCTTCTGGGGTCTGTAGAACATGATGGTTCTTCTCACCTTACTTCCTGCCCATTTCAGTTTGGTGAGGCACTATCACTAGTGAATTCTTCAACATTCAGATTTTTTTTTTACTGGTAAGCCCATCAGATTGATGCAGCTCTGATAGTGTCAGGGATGATGGGAGGTGAGCTCAAATATCTTGCTTGCTGACAGAGGCACATGGTGTTTTCTAGGCAAGCCCCATGGAAACTAACAGCAGCCACTTGAAGAAACTAATCTCTTGGTGGAAGATGTCCATGTTTAATTTAGCTATAGAAGTCAGTAATGTAGCCTTGAAAATGACTTCGACAGTATATTTCCCAGGATTATGTGTACAATTCTGACAAGACAGTGGAAGGATCATATGTGACGTTAAAAAGTTGTTCAAATTGCTAAAAGAGGAGCTTTGTGGCTCAGAGAATTTGATGATTATTCAGTTGATATATTGAATCTGAAGGCTTTGGAGTAAAAAAAAACCCACCAGTTCATTTTGGATTCTGCTCCAAAGCTCTTGAGTTTTAAGATTAAAGTATAAAACCTATTCTGTCTCTTTCCTTCGGAGCTTGTAAGCAAACTTGGCTTGACCCAGGCCTTTGAACATCTCCATCACTTAAGAGAAAAGAAGGCAATAAAGAGAGACACTCTCTCATCTGTCTTCCCAGCTTGAGGTGAGCTCCCTGATCTCATTAGCCAAGACAGCACCTGAAAACTACAAGAAGGAAAAGTATATTTGAAGAAGCTATGCTTACTTCTAACACAATACATAGAGAATCCACAAACACTTGGTTATCACCACATGATCTATACTACTTAATTTTCCACAGTATGTGCCCATTGGTCTACATATGTATCAGATATGGAATGCATTGTAGTCTATCACAAAATATAATATTTCCAAAGCTGCATTTTAAATTTCAATGCATAAGACTTGAAATCCCAACCCTTCATAGGTCACATTTTAAGGACCTCATCTAGATATTTCCATTTTCACTGAAACAGATGCATATGTTATATGAGAATTTCCAATGTGCTCTCTTTCCATTCAGTCAGTAGCTGAATTAAGCATTACCTGTCAACAAGTTTGCAAACCTATCTCTAAGGATAACATGTACTGGTATCCAAATGAAGCAAACATTCAGACTCTTAAACCAGGCAACAAGGTTCATGCAGTATGCATGATTTCTTCATCAGAAACTAAAACAGAGCCATCCTATGTTAGCGAGCATCTATTGTTAGATTAGTAGCACAGAAACTAGAAGCTCTGGCCTAGCCTATATGTTCCCGAGGAGAAAAAAAGATGGCCATACCAAGAGCTGAGTACCACTAGATTTTTTTGTTAGTTTTTGTTTTAAAAACCAATGAATGCAACATGTGTGGAAGCAGAAGCCTTGCACAAACTACCAGATTTTCAATTCAGGCATGGTGTCATGAAATGCGAAATAAGGTCAAACAATCCCAGGTAGAACACTGTCAAGCAGGACAACACAGATACAGTAAACACAGTTTTCTCTTTGACAGAGAAGATTTAAAGCAGTCATCCAGTTTACTGATTTAGGATTCTAGTATATCTGCTTTCATTCTGTTTTTCTCTTATTCTTTCCCATTTCCCTTTCTGTCTGCTGCTTTTTATTCAGCAACAGCTTGGCTATGCCCACAACCCTAATCCCCCCCCCTTTCTCCTTATCTTAGAAGGTTTCTGAAGCAACAGGCAAGCATGTATATCCTCACCTTCTCCCAAACAACCCAAACATACTCTTTTATTCCCTGTTAATTGAGTAGAAAGAGCTTTTAGTAATATGTAGGAAAGTGAGGGGTGGCAGTAAAATGACATGTCCTATTGGCTAGTTGTCTGGGGCAATGGATGCTGAAAGGCAAAGGAAACAGCCATATTGAAGGAGATTCCTTTAGAAGGGGTTGCAACCAAATGTTGGAATGAAAGCTCTAAACAGCTAGTGCTTTGGGAGTTACATGAACCTCTTTCATTCATGCTTTGCTAGCTCTCTTTCTGATAGCTGCTCTGAATTCCCCATTTTGCAGCTTTGCAGAACTATAAAAATGCACCCTTGTTACAGGGAGTTGTAAAGAAAGGGGATTGTTTCTAAACGAACAAAAAAGACACAGGATTCCAGTTTGGGCTAAATGCTCTTGAAAACCTCAAAATAGCAGAAACATTTCATTTTCACTCTCTACGTACCATATTACAAGCCCTGCTGTTCCAGCCTATGGATTCTAGAATGATGCTCAGGATCATAATAAATACTTTAGAAAAAAATCTCTGACATTTAATTCTGAAAACATTTGGAGATCCTAGGGAAACACACAATGGGCAGAGCTGTCATGGTTGTCTCCAAGATTATACAGTGGGCCAGATGGGTTAACTACACCAGCAGACCCCAGTTCCCTCCACCTGGCTTGAGGCAGGAGCCAAAGGGCTAGGGACACTGTAAATAGTTAAAGCAGCTCGGAACATTGCAACGCTGGAATCCTCCAATCACAGCTCTTTGTAGCTAGTCAATGGGAAGCACTGTGTATCGTAGCTGTCGGCTGGGAAATAGGCATCTGTGAAAGGAAAGAGGAAGCTTTGGGAGTCTGCGGTTTGCCAGTGTGTGTGTTATTCTCAATGGGTCTCTGCCAGAGGTAAAGGAAGCTTACACCAAGCCACTGAATGTTGCTGTTCAAAGTGACTATAAATCTGGCTGACAGTGGAGTTGTGTGGGAGTATTTGCTAGGGTGGTGGTGGTAAGGAGGAATCATATTTACTAGCCCAGCAAAAATGGATATGCCACAACAACATAAAAAAGGACAGTAGAAGATGGTGCTTGCTTCAAGAGAGCAGGGGGTGCATGATTCCTTTCTCAAGGAGAGGAGAGAAGCTCCATCCATGAGGAGACTGAGAGAAAGTACAATAGCTCAGCTGCTAGTGAAAGGACAGGCATGTATGTTCACAGTGATGGAGCAGATGTGTCGATGTACATACAAGCAAGAGCATATGAGAAGGCATCTATCAGAGAGGACTACAGACATCATGCATAGCTTCTCTAGTGTGTGCAACTACACTGAGAGTATCACTTGGCAAAGGGAATAGCTATTGCCCAAAGAGTGTGTTGACAGTTGTGTCACAGGATATGGAAAAAGAAGACACTGAGTTGGGCATTCAGGAAATGGGGACAGTCTGATTTTTAGAAAGGAGGGGTGATTTATGGCCAAAATACTATGCTGAGTTTCTGACAAGATTTATACATGGCACAGAGGCTCTGTCTCTGTGTAACTAACTGTACTGCTAAAACTGTACTGTATGAAAGGGAGAAAGTGCACATAAGACATATATGTATGTGAGATATGTAGCAGGTGGATCATATGTTAGGGGAAAATAGGAATGTAAGTATCAAGAGGACACATAAAAGGGTATATATAGGGAGTACATTATCATCTATGGGCATGTATGAATGATTGTTTGGGTATCTGGCAGTGCATTAAAACATAAGCCTGGGGTGAGGGAAGTGAAAGGGCTTAAAAGAGTTTGTACATGAGTTTGCACCACAGTGTGGCATCTTTACCAATCCTGCTTCATGTGCAAGATATTTGCCAAACTCTAACCTGTAATGATTCAGAATGTATCCCACCACAGCCATCTGCAAGTGGAAAAGTACACAACCTGCTAAACCATTTTTGAGTTGCCAGTAATCAATAGCCAGTTCATCTCTACCTCCCAAATACTCCATTATCATTTCAACCTTCAAGCTGGAGGGGTTTTTTTTCTGTCACCCCCTTCATTTTCAAATAAAAATTCATTCATACACTATTAAGAAAAACAACGCATCCTTCTCAGGGTTCCAGAGCGCATAGGTTTTTGTCATATATGAGGTGATGACACAAGCTTCATTGGCACTGGTATGTCACAGATTGCTGACTGACATGGGATGTAGTTAGAGGTGGCACAGAGGGGCAAAGCTCCATTGTACCCCTCCCTTTGCAAATCCTCCATTCCCCTCCTTGCCCCTCCTTTGCAAAGTATATACAGTAGCAAACCGAGCACACGAGGTGCCCTCTAACCATAGCAGCTGCTAGGACATAGACTTCATTCATCTGGATTCACATTTCCTAAAGGAGGACCAAAGGGAGCAGGGGGGCTCCATAAAACATCCCCTTTTCTCCTCTGTTTCTCTCCATCACACACCCGTCAAAGCCAGGAAGGAGTAAGAGAACACAAATCATCCCTTACCTTGCAGGGAGAAGAGGGAAAAGAAGAATCCCAGCACCCAGATACTGTGCAGCCAGTAGGTCCTCATGTTTCTGCCTCAGTCGATCAAGCTCCTCTTCTTCTCTCGTGCACGCTCTTTTATTTTCTTTGGAAGATGCGATCCTTCTCCTCTCTGTGCTGCTTCTCCCGTCACTCTTCTACAAGCTTTGACAATCCAGTGCAAAGGAAGCTGACCTCGGATGGCCAGATTCCTGAATAAGCTCACACTTTCGCCTTCAGATAATTAGGAGAAAGGGAGGGGGCCGCTAGGATGCTCCTCTCAGCTTGAGAAAATCTCAATATCTTCTCCTCTCTCCCTCTCTCTCTCTCCTGCAGCTCCAACTAAATGCGACTGTACTTAAACAAGCAATGCCTTATAGGACAGCGCTCAGAGCAGAAAAGATCCCACCTCTGCCATCTAGTGTTGCAAATCAGAGGCATCCTTTTCTATGGATGTAGCAAGAAGATGCATATCGGCCTCCCAATTTGCATCCTGCAAGGTTCTAGGCTTTCTGCTAGTTCAGGTACTGTGTTTAGCAAGTGCTGGACCATTATATCCTGCCACCCAAGGGGGTTTCCCTCTTGATCCCCCCCCCCCCCCCCAGCACTTTACCCATTTCACATGTCTGTAATAAGTGCATACATGATATGATCAGGAGAATCTACACTGGATTTAAAGATGGCATCTTCTTATTTTTGACCATGTGCCACCAACAGCTATGGAAGCAATAAACAGATAAATAAGCATGTGGATGGCTTAAAGGTGTTTTTAATAAAAGGAAAGAACTGCTTTCTGATTTCTAGGAATATAATTTCTAGATGAAATTAAGCAAGAACCAGGGACATCACACCTTCTTGAAAGAAACAGTTTTCTCAGTTTGTCAGCTATAGAATGGAATATATTATACCCACATCTTTTTGCACTAGATTTATTAACTCGGAGTAACTCAGGTCAGGGCAAAAGGCTTAGGGCATTACAGCAAGGAAGGAGTTTCAGTTTTAGCCAATTTTTTGTGCATCAGGAGCAACTTGAGAAACTGCAGGTTGCTTCTGGTGTGAGAGCATTGGCTGTCAAATGTTGCCCAGGGGATGCCTGGATGTGTTACCATCCTGTGGTAGGCTTCTATCATGTTCTTGCATAAGAAGCTGGAGCTGACAAATGAGAGCTCACCCACTCCCCGAATACAGACTACTGATCTTTCAGTCAGCAGTCCTGCTGGCACAAGGGTTTAATCCATTGAGCCACTGGGGGCTCCAAGACTGAACTTCCAGTGACTCCAAGTCCCTCAATTTCCAGTATAGAGCTATAAGCGTTACTAAGCATTGAACAAAAAACATACATGTCTTGTCATCATGCTTTGCTATCTAAAAGAAAATACAAGGCCCTGAAATTTTTTTAATCATTTAAAGATTCATAAATGAAGCTGGATGATAGGTTGAAAATGAGCTTAAGGACAAAATGAGGGAAACTCATATTTAAGAAAACAATTTACTTAGGTGTGGAAAAATTTATAAGCTCCTAATGATTTCAAACAAAATTAAACACGTACAAAGTATTTTGTACCAAAGAAATTCACACATGGGCAATGCAAAGAGGTCATTTATCTCCTAGTCAGCTCTATGTTATTAACCTCTTGATAACTTCTCATATGTATATATATGTATATGTACACACACACACACACACACACACACATATATATGTGTGTGTGTGGTTGTGGGTGTGTTTAAGTTGCCCCATGCATTTTTCAGAGGATTTTCTTGGGTTTTGCCAGTTCCTTCCTCTGAAATGTAGCCTATAGCATCTGGCATTTGTTGGTGGAGTCTTCAGGACTGACCTTGCTTAGCTTTCGAAATTAGACAGGATCTGATCCTTTAAGGTTTAAAGCCTCTTGGACACCAAAATAAGGTAAGAGAAACAAGTATAATCGAATTCAGAAATAGTGATTGGCCCTTATTGTTGAATTTGCATGTATGCCATAGTGTTTTGTTGCTCAGTTGCTGCCACTATATGATTTATAAATATTCCATGCAAATGTGGCCTAATTGCTAGGTTGTTGTGGGAGGAACCTTGGACCATAAACCCAGAGTCCACCTGACACTATGTTGTTAAATAAACTGCTGAGTTCAATCTACTATCAGGCATCATTTATGGACTTAAAGAGGGTTTAAAAAGTGGTGGAGAAAGGAAGAATAGAACAAAGATTAGAACCAATTAACTGGGTTCCTGGGAAACCCAAGATTGATAATAATGAATGGTCCTTGACATCCAGTGAAGGAGTGATGACATTATTATGTCCCATTGAAGTGACAATGCGCCTCTGGGCTTTTACTGGCAAGCCATTCTAGTCTGGACGCGCATGACAAATTCCAGACCCCTGACACTTATGCTCCACACCATTCTGGCTAAGTATACAGGGCATCATGACCTGGGACTGGAGGCAGGCCGCCCTCCCCAGATGCATACACTGTTCCTAACCAACTGACCATGTATGGACACTACCCTTGAAGACAGGAAGGATGACATCACCTGTTGCTGACCTTACCTGCAGATTACCTCACCCTTGAGAGTCCAACCAATCACTTGACAATTATGTAATCCCCCACTGTTGCTATGCAGACTTTGCTAAAGAGCACAAAAACCTATATAAGCTTTGCTTAGGAAACAATAAAGGGTCGTCATCATCATTCACTTCTACGCCTGCTTCCCGCCTGGTCATTATCGCGTTTCTACAATCCAGTTTTCTGGTTGTGGTGATAAAAAGGAAAGAGGTTAAAGATAGTCAAACCAGGTAGCTACTAGAAAACACTCCTCTAGAAAGCACTTCCTATGCTAAACTTCTGCTATTTAGAGATCTTCAAGAATAGGCTTTCAAACAGTTAACTAACAGAACAGATCACAGGAGGTAGCTGGGCAAAAGTCCAAGTCTAGAATCTAGAAGCGTAATTCCCTTCCTACTCAACTGTCAGTTTTCCTTCCACTTTCTCCTCACATTCTCTATTCAGTCTTCCCCTTCTCAAAGAACAGCTACTAGAATTGCTGGCTCTCTCCCCCTCTACTCATGAACTTCTAATAGGTGGCACCTGTTCTCTCTTAAGGTTAATTGGATCTGACTGTGACCTCACACAAGCACTCTCTCACACACAAAACATCAAACACAATGCAGCTGATACCAATAGGTTGGCAAGGCTCTCTTGTATCATCACAGTGAGCACCATTCCCAATGTAGCACCGTCAGTAGCAAATTATGTGCCTTGCATGAATTCAATCTTACATGAAAGCACAAGTATTAAAACCTCCAGATTACCATCAAACACTAGAAGTCAAATATTATACCTCATTTGCCTTTTCTTCTATTATAAGCTATCAAAAAGACACAGTTAATAAATCATGGCAACCCAATGGGCAATAGTCTCTCATTTTGAATGTTATCAAATGACCAATGCAGAGCTACTCTGTAGACACTGGCTAACCATCTACATCCAATTAATGGTCAAACAATCAATGAGTCTTTATATTAAATGAATACATCTAGACATAAACGACTACTGAAATAATAGAAGGAAACTTTCTCAGCAAAAATATCACATTTCTCAGTATGAAATACCATGTCTAACTCTCATAAGTTATTTCATCATGCTTATCACATGTTCACGGTAAGATGTGTAGAGCACAGCAAAGCATCTACCCAGATGTTCACTACTGATTTTAACCCCTTGGTGGAGATCACAGGGATGATGACAAATTTGTTATTGAGCAATTCTAAGTACATGCCCTCAGTATAGATTTTGTTCAGCCATGTGGCTAATCCTAGTTTATAGACTATGAGCTGCCATTTTATTTGTATTGCCATTTGCCAGAACAGCAGGGGTTCCCAAGTATTGATTTTTCTTGCCAACAAGTTGTAAATGGCTAAAACTTCAAATCATTTCACACAAACTGAAGTTCCATAAAGATGGCCCAAGAAGCTCCATGTACCATTAGCATACACTAAAGCACTCATGGTGTCCTGCCACATGCTCGGCTCTGAACTCAATCCATTAAACCAACATAAGTTAAAATCATCGTATTTGGGATACTGCATCTTTGCAAGGGATGAATGGAATATGCTTGGAACAAGATGTAATTAGAACATGAATGAATGGAAACAATAGAGATCCAAGCCATGATCAAAGGCATCAAAGCAAAAGTCAACAAAAGTACATTCAATGTATTAAGACTAAAAATCAGTGGTTTGTTTGCTTTGTTCCTTGTCTATTCAGAGCCTCCCATATCTTCAGCTCTTCCATTCACACCAAAAACCTGTTGTAAGAGTGAGAAAATCTTCTGGAATAGGTTAGGTGTGTATGCCACAAGGATGCATCAGGAGCAAGTCAGGATAATGCAAATTCCATCAAAACTGGATACAAAATGCATTGCTTTTTTCTTGGTATTTGAATGTTAATAATATAAGCTGTAAAAAAAAGAAAGTGACTTGAAGCCTATCTACATGGGCATCCACATCACACACGGGGATTTCCATTCCCTAACACAAACTCAAACCAGTTAATGCAATTACCATGCTAAGTAAAGTTGGGGGATACTTCACAGTTTCCCTGAAGTTCTGAAGCAGTTCCACATGTTGGTGTGTGTATGAATATTTTGGCTAATTCTGATTCACCACCCTGCCCTTACCCTTGATACTGGCCTGTGCCACCACCCAGTGTGATTTTTCTGATCACCTGCCTCAGCATTCAAATTTCCTACTAGCTAAATAAAAGGAGAAACGTTACAACTTGCAGCAGAAATTCAGCATGTCTTCATTCACAAGATAATTTCTACAATTTTAATTACTTTCAATAAAGAGGGACACTTCGCTTTCATTACTTTTGTTCACTTCTGTCCCTTTTCTCCTTTTCCTTTTCTTCCTTCTCCTTCTCCTCCCCCCCCTTCCCCTTCCCCTTCCCCTTCCCCCAGACCTACCCCTAGATGTGCAGGGGGGTGGGTCATGGAAAAAACTGAAAGGGGGGTGCAGAGTGTGTTACATTTGTATCAGGACCATGGGGCAAGAGGAGGAGGCTTGCCTCCCAGCAGCAGAGTCTGTTCCCAAGTTGAAGGAGCATATTGATATGACTAATAATGCTCTTGCTGAGCAGAAGCCGGTTGAGTGTGGGCAGAATGAAGCTCTTTGGGGGAAGAGCATTACTTAATGCTCCCCATTCAGTTGCAACTCAGGGTAAATGTGATTCATCTGCACAGGCCAAGGAGGTTGGTCTTAAAGAAGGATGACCAGCTGTAGGACTTTTGCAGAAGTAGCACTGCTGAAAGCAATAGTTGTGTTGGATATTCCAGCTGGTGATCTTGACTCATGGAGGTTGGATTTTGTGTATTGGACAACTGGTGAG